GTTGGCCAGTATCATCCAATCAAAATGGCTCCTGGAGCCAACTGCAGCCCGAACGAGGAAAGGAGCAGTGAAAAATCGATCGATGGATGCATTAATAAACAAGCGAGAATATTTTTTACCTGCAAGCCAGATGCAATCATCAAAAGAGCCATATATGGCTCGCGAGCCATAGGTTCCCGACCTCTGGTTTAATGCATCAGTCTCCAACCCCCAGTCCGTGGACTGGTACCGAGAATCGGCCCGTTTGGCACCGGGCTGCACAGAGACAGGCCTGTGTGCTGTGAGCAGATTTACTCCATTAGACGTGACATGGGAAATGTGCACAACTCCGACCAATCAGAGTTCCACTTCCAACATTGGTTTGCAAGTTGATAAAACTAGAACCCGCCAAAAATGAAAGAAGAAGCAGTAGACAGAAAGTAATCGTAACAACTTCACCAAATGTACAGCTGAATACGCAGCTGCCGGGCAGCCATGACTTCCCAAGATGAAACTATTTTGACAAGAGAAGCTCCTCCCCAAGCGACGTGGAGGAGCAAGATGTCATCAAAAACAAGACAATACAAGAAACCTGTTGAATCATTGGAACAAGTCGCAAAAGTGCGAATGGACTTTGAACAGCCCGCCCAAATAAACATTTTGTTGTTGTCAGTCGCAGTGCATTAAAACTGGCAATTTAAAAGCGATGAAAAATAAAAAGGTTGCCTGTCCGCAAACAGCATCTACTTATCTCAAACAGCCCGTGACACAAAAAAGGTTGGGGACCGCTGCTTTCATGAATTGTTCAGCAGTCTTAACCCACGTACTCTTCTCAGAAATGTTAACCTTTGGACACTTTTGTGGCTAAAATGTACATGCACAAACACACCTCAATAATAAATAATGAACATCTCTACACCCCTTTCAAAGGGGAACTAAACCATTTTTTTTCCTTTCCATGAATGGGTTGTGTGCCAACACTAGACAAAACACAGTACCGTATTTTCACGACTATAAGGCGCCATTAAAAGTCTTAAATTTTCTCCAAAATGGACAGGACGCCTTATAATGCGGAGCGTCTAGTGCACAGGTGTCGAAGTCCGGTCCTCGAGGGCCGGTGTCCTGCATGTTTTCCATCCCTCCCTGCTGCAACACACCTGATCCAAATGAACAGCTCATCAGCAAGCTCTATCGGAGCCTGATAGTGATCCTGATCATTTGAATCAGGTGTGTTGCAGCAGGGAGGGATGGAAAACATGCAGGACACCGGCCCTCGAGGACCGGACTTCGACACCTGTGGAATACAATGAAATTTCTTCACCCCAAGAGGTCTGACATTGAATGATAAATGTTTGGTAGATCGACAAAAAGAAAATAAGTTTTACATCTGATACAGTACATCTTCCAAGCAGAAAATACTTTGACACATCCAATATGGCAGTGCCGTTGACATAAAGTTCAGTGCCCAAGACGGAGTTCATGAATGTCTATGGTTTTGAGGCATTGTTATATTGCATTTACAATGTTTGACCAGTGGGTGGCAATGTAAGGAATGTTTCCTCTTAGCCAACTGACGCACGATTTTGTCACTCATCAGGCATTCCACTACAGGGACCACCTTAATTAAATGAAAGTACTTGTTTAGGTTAGATGTATACAATGTTGAACCAATTTTACTATACAGTGCGTTTTGTGTATGTGTCAAATACAGAAATAGCACCCGTTACTGAGACTGCACCCAACAATACGGTGCGCCGAATGGTTGTGAAAATACGGTACTCTGATTACCACTGTGTTTCTGGGCTAAGACAAAACAAAATACACGAGATTGCTTGATATCAGTGGACACCCATTTTGAGACCGATGTTCTCATCGATCTACTAGTAACTGTATCGGAATCCATTTTAAAAGTAACCCCCCAATCCTGGTCTGATGTCACTTCATCAAGTGACATCAACACCAGAGTAGTATTTTTGCCTGCTCAAGCGCATATTTCTGGAAGACTGGTTTGTTCAAAAAAAAAAAAAAAAAAATGCAACTGTGTCAGGCTGAGAGCATCCAAGTTTGAAGATTTAATATCACCTAATTTATATGGTCATAAATTTCGGCAAAAGTAGCTTGTACCTGGAGAAAAGACATCTGGACTTGAAGCAAAAAAAATGTAATGTATTATTACTATTTTTTATTTTTATTTTTTATCTATTTCGTTTTGGTAAAGCACCATACAACCCATTCAGGAACGCTTTCATTCTAAAATGTTACATTTATCGCCATGAATTTATATTGTGATATAAATGTTACGCCCCATCGCCAAGCCCTTCATTCTTGCCTTTTACCGCTAATATTGTGTTTTATATCTACTTTGTGTTCAACTTATGGCGCACATTTTTGAACAAGCATGAATTTATGATGACTTTACAGCATTACAGTACGATTTTAGCCACAAAGATCCGCAGAGGACGCAAAATGCACTTTAAGAGAAAACCCAGAGGAGATAAGAAAATCTTGCAAAATTTTATGCCACAACTTCTGACATTAACAAAATGATTCTGAGATGAAAGTCCTCCGGATTTTCCCAGAATTCTGGATTTTTCAAATTTTTATGAAAATCTCTCGGGAGAATTGAGGAAAATGTGCCTAAAATTAATCCGGATATTAGTTGACAACATTGAACGAAGACACGTTTGAGTTCGTTGTTTTGCTTTCACGAGCGTAGCCATGTTGAGACACTAACACTAGTAACAGTAAATAGATTTTCGTCTCTTTATAAACACACTTGCTAAACCCCAGTGGAACGAATAAAAGACACCGTGGACAAGACAGTTGTCGTAAAAAATATATTTGGAGAAAAAGGGAAACACACAGATTGGCAGAAAAACGCGTCCGTCCGACTTCGAGTGTCGTCTCGGCGAGCTCAATTTAGCTGTTGTCGTGTGTAACGTCGGGTGTGTGACGTCGTTGCGTCGGCGCCGATTGGTTGAAATCAAAAGACATGCTTGCGTACATGTTCGCGCTGAAGCAGGTGCAGCAGAGAGCAGCGGACTGTCTACTGCTGAGGCTCCTCGCCTCGCATTCTAATGGCCTCGCCATATCTCGGAGATTTTGAAATTTCGGCGAGAACGGAAGCCACCAAGGGTGCACGTGTGCACGCAAAAGGAAGATTAATCATTGAATGTCGAGTATTTGAATAGCGTTTTGTGTAAACTAATTCATGCGTTATCGGCCAGGTGTGTGTGTGTGTGTGTGTGTGTGTGTGTGTGTGTGTGTGTGTGTGTG